AATTTTCTCTTTTTTTACCTCCATTTTGGAACGCTGTAACACACAACTGGCTTGACCAAACACAAAACTGTCACAGAACTTTTTTTGAAGCGTAATGTCACCTTTAAATCGCCGTATAGTATGACCCGATGCGATGTATACATCGTGAGATATGGCTCACTAAAGACATCTAGCGGAAAACGCTCAGAACTTTTTACTTCACCTAATATTTGCCTAATCCAAAGGTTCCACAGCTTGTATATACCGAAAGTGTGGATGCTTCAAACAGAAAAATTTTGAAGAACATTACTCTACCTTTGCATCTATATTTGGAAGTGTAAAAATATCGAGAAAGTTTGCAGAAAGATTTCTACATATATATGGTTAGATTTTCCGTTGAATATAGTAAAACAAAGCAACACATATTCATGTAAGTTCTGTATACACAAGAAATACGAAAAGGATAGCGTGATTATGTTAGTGACGATCGTCTCTACATTATCGACATTATTCGAGTTTGTCATCGACTCCAGCATCCCCTTAATAAATTTATTAAAAACTTTTTACAGCTATAAATTACAAAATCCTACTCTGCACTAACAATTATTTTTGCATGAATAAGATAAAACCATGTACTGTCTTCCGGCAAATATTGAGATATTTCTATCCATTTAACAATATCTAATATACGCTATCAGCGCGCAATTAGTGCATCATCTATGAAAAGAGGTAACTAAATCTATGAATAGAGATAACTAAAGTAACAATAAGAGAAACAGTGAAACTCATTACTGTAAAAATGTAACAATGTTACAAACAGAAAAAAATAACGATCATTATCGAAAAAAATAATGGTAACGATAGTGGCCTTACAAATAACGTATTACTTCCCAACTCTGATAATATGTATAAAAGATGTCTCGGAACAATCTTCAAAGCTCCCGTGAGAACGTAAAGTGAACATAAAAGTCCTATAGTTTTGCAATATTCGTAATAATAACTGAGAAATTAGTTGTGAAAGAAAAATAAGGAAAATTACTGGGCTGAGATATTAATTAAAGAAGATTTGTGAATGAATACGCGAGATATGATAAATAAGCTATAGTGGCAACATCTACCGTTGTGTGCTTCTACATTACGTCAAACTAAACAAAAAAGTTACTATTTTCCTAATAACTTTGTAATTTTTAATTATTAATTAAAGAAAATTGGCGAATAATCGCTTGCGATAACATATTAATAATATTAATAATATTCTCTAATTAATAACTAAAAATCTACAAAGTTATTAGGAAAAAGATAGAGGATTTATTTGTATTCAGTTTGACCTAATGTACAAGCACACGACGGTAGATGTCGCCACTATAGCTTATCTATTATATCTCGCGCGTAACAATTTACAAATTTTCTTTAATTAATATCTCGATAATTATTGCGAATATTAATAAAATGGTATAGTAATTCTATGTTATCTTAATCCATACTGTGTTTCATGGCGCGGTGCAGTAAGACGTAGGAGCGCAACGATATAAACATAGGCAGTGGTGCGTTATTCATTCAATCGTCACACGCCACCATCCGCGCGCTATATTACTGGGCTGCGCTGTGACTCGACTTATTGGAAAAAATAAACTTTTTATCATTCGGTTGCATATCGTTTGCACATGTTTGCACTTCGTGTTTTGTTTGCACATCTTTAGTTTAAAAGATATTCAAAATATAATTTTAGGAGGACCAACTTCACACTAGCTTTCTATGTAATCCAAATTTAATGTACAGTACATGTAATCAATAGATTTTTATTTGCTCAAATAAATCCCAAAAAATGTGTTTAATATCTTTTAAACTAAAGGTCTACAAATAAAAACTAGTGGTGTACAAACAATATGCAATCGAATGAGATATACCAAATCTTTTTTCTCGAATGTTGGAATATGTCTTCCAACATTCGAGATTCAATTATAAAATTAAGATATAAAATTGGCCTCCTCAAAATTGTTTTTTAAATATCTTAAAAGTGTGCAAACGAAAAAAAGGTAATTATTTAGAAGACGGTCCTCACTTCCGATTTCGATAAAAGTAGGCTCAATCGACGCGTTTTTGCATGCTAAACAACTTTTTCCTCTGACAAAATCGTCGCTCTCTACTGCGAAGCGAGATATTAATTGTTAAAGATGCTAGGTATGATAGGTGAAGTCGTTGCAACGTAAAGTCTGTTGGTTAGAGTTGCACTTACTGTATTAGTGTAACGTAGTGTGCAGCAACTTCATGAAAATACTTAAATTAAGAATATTTTTAATATATTTGACATTTTATAACACGGGAAAGATATCAAACAACGAGCGGGGGGCTGCGCCCCCGCACCTCCTAAAAACTAACCTATCGTCACATTGGTCATATTGTTTATTAAAAAGTGTCCAACCTTTTTTCTTAACTTTTTAATAAACAATGACTGCGGCTATCACCCTGCCACGGTTCGGAGGGTCTGGCGGGCGAAGCCCCCCAGTCACACAACTAGAGATAGACAGTACGACACATTTTCTAATCTAACACGCCCTCAACTTTATCTATTAATATCTCGCTTTACAATAGAGAGCGACGATTTTGTCAGAGGAAAAAGTTGTTTGGCGTGCAAAAACGCATTAATTGAGCCTACTTTCATCGAAATCGGAAGTGAGGACTGTCTTCTAAATAATTACCGAAAAAAATCTTCCTAAAAAGCAGTATTGGACTTGAAAACCTTTGTTGTTAACAAGATCCAATAAATTTTTAGACTTACCTTTATTGGCCGGATTCTTCCCCGATTTTGCTTTAATTGACAGAAACATAACAACAGCAACATTTTCAAAATAAAAATTTTAAGCGCTATTTTGGGTCTGTTTGGGGGTTTAACAAAAAGTGATCAAGAACGACATTTTTTTATTTTTTTCGTAGATATGTCTGCAATAAAAAGATAGGTGTTTTTATTGAGAAAAATCAATTTAGACTTTATTGGACCCAAAGTAGACCTTGAACCCAAAATCTAAGTGACTCATTTGATAGAGTCCCTCTCAAACTTTACAACTTTTATCTGAAATATTTTTTTTAATTAATCATTTTCAATATATTATAATGTCTAAGTTAAAATAAAACCCCTTATATATGTGTGTGTATGTGTGTGTGTGTAGATCATATATTATAAATATATTTCATGTATATTTATATTTTTCAGTACCGAGAAGAACGATTTAGGCAAACATCAGAAAGCACTCATCGTCGTGTGTTCTGGTGGTCCCTTACACAGACTGCAGTTGTTATAATTATGGGTGCATGGCAAATGAAGCATCTTAAGAGCTTTTTCGAAGCAAAGAAATTAGTTTAATTTTGTAAGACGTGATTATTTAAGCAAAACATCAATTAAATCATTAAATTTCATTTTTGTAGATTATTAAATTTCATTTCAGATAAAATTTATATTACAACAAATTTTTCGATATATCGTATATTGAACAATTTTAAACACATTTTGTATGAAAATGTCAGTTACATTGTAAGAAAATTTGACATTATTGTCTAAAATAATTGATAAATTGCTTGTGTATGATGATGTGATAAAAATAAAAGAATAGCTTCTCACACACATACATATATAAAATATACTTTTGTCAACTTATTAATATTTAAAAACATTCCCATTTCAACTTAAATCTGTATTTTTTTATGAATTTGACAATTATTTACATGATTGTACTAGTTATACACTTATTATTCATTACATAGTAATCCAGTAAGCAAAAAATCTTAATAGAATGCTACTGCAACGATATTCAGTAAAATGTAACGTTTTCTAATATGTAGTTTTTACGTTAATATATCTAATATGTAATTTAATGTAGTATATCAACATTATTACAAATAACTTCGACATTTTAATATTTTTAAAACATTTTTGCAATACTCAAAGAGATTATTCGGTAATATTTTTGAAATATTTTTGAAATATTAAACGAAAATATGCAAGAGATACGCGTAAAATTAAAATATTTTAAGATGTTGATTTAATGTTCTTTGTTTATTGGGAATAATAAACATTCAGTTACTTAACATTTTTGTTAAGTTTTATCTGTATTTTTAAAGTTCCTGGGTTTTCATCGTGGAACTCTTATATTAATGTTCATAAAATGATATTTGTAATTGATCAAGCTGATCTGTACAATAGTTCGACCATTTTCCTTCTGCTTTAAGTATCAATAAATAACCGTAAAATTAACGTGATAATATTATAAGAGAAATTAAAAATAGTTGTATGTAAATGTGATAAAAAAGTTGTGTTACGTTAATTTTATGGTTGTTTATTGATTGTTCCATCGATTTATGATTGCAGTCGAGCAAGCCTCGACAAGCAAGTGTCTTTCCTCTTCCATTTACATAGACGGCTCTGTCTATCCGTATAACGACAGTCGTCACATGAATAGACGGAGCGGTCTGTATGCGTAAATGAAAGGGGAAAACGCTTACTTGTCGAGGCTGGAATACACAACACTACATTGCGTGTCATTTTATGAATTATGGTTGCATGTAGCAGAGAAAACTGTTTCGCAATTGTTGCAAAAATTCGTAAATCTAATTGGGCTATGTGCTCTTAATCTTGACTGAATCTAAGAGTATATACCAGAGCTCGGAAAACGACGCATTTCCCGGTCGATTTTCGGAAAACTCTGCTTTGCATTGTTCCCTTTACCTTGTCCCACAAGCGTCAAGCGACTCGTAAGCTGCGCGCGGGACAACAACGAAAAGTGAAACCTCTCGAGTTAGCTCTGACATATTCCAATCAGATTCACGAATTTTATATTTGTAAAATAATTTGTTGAATGCAGCCCATTTCAACGTATTTCGTCGGAATTTTTTTCATTTTTGACATCAATCAAGTCTATGACGTGCAGTCAAGAACTTTAAAAGAACATGTTCATCTGAACGAGAGATTTTAAATAAAATTTTGTATATATATGTAACGATGCATATCGTCACATAAAAGAAACGCAAAAACAACGCGAAACAGAAGCGCAAGGGGACAGAGCGTCCTCTAAGATTGTAAACAGCGCGACCGCCGAACAACCGCGGTAAATAGCGAATCAAGCGAGATTCGAGATATATAAAACGCCGCGTAATCGTAATCTAGAAGATTCGATCATCCGCTCTCGAAAGAGAATCAGAACCGATCCACCGCTCTCGAAGGAGAATCCGATTCCGATTATCCGCTTTAAGAGATACCGACTCCGCTCCTGGCAGATTATTGTTCGTCGATTGGCGACTGTAGTCACTCCGCCGTCGTTGCACGGATACGTGTCATCGACATT